GCTCATAGGAAGTGAAGGAAAATTAGAGCAGAAAATCTGGTAGAAAATATAAAAATAAAAACCAACGAGGGTTGGATCAAGTGGTTAGCAGCTTGTTGCAGTTTAAACAAGGTTTCGAGTTCGAGATCTAGTGAATGCAGTTTCCGCTGGGAGACTCACCCACCATTTTCAGGTGCGCGACGTGGGTTGGATCCGGATTAGTCGGACGAAACCCCGATATCGGACGGGAAACCGAAGAAAATATAAAAATAAAAATATTGAGGTGGACCCTATTTAAAAGAAAGAGTGAAAATAATGGAAATATAAGTGAATAATAAAAATGTCACAATGGCACGTAATAGATGAGTTATTTTTCACATCATTAAAGGTTTAAAATAAAACTAATTTTGTGGTATATTAACGTGCCATCTGGCACTTCGGTTGATAAAAGGACTAAATTGGTCCTAAAAATTGAAGATTTAGGATAGTTTTAATATTTTATAAAGTTTAGGAGTAAATTGGTTTGAAAATAAAAGTTTAGGGATCAAATTAGATATTTAACTTTATCTAAATTGAAAAGATCTCGTTAAAATATTAAGGATTTATATAATTTGTGTGTAATAAATAGATATTTTTATAATTAATTTATATAAAAATTAATAAAATATTATTTTATTTTAATATTATTATCATGTAAATAATTTTAATTAATTAATTAATTAAATTTAAATTAATTTTATCATTTTTTATATATATTAATTACAAAATATATACATTTATATACTCTTAGCCAACACACACGATAGAAAATCCGAAATACTAATTACCCATCAAAACAGTATTCATGAATGGCATTTCCCCCACCAAACTCTGGATCCTCTAGTCTCTTCTTTTTCCCCCTTTAAAACCTACATCCAATTTATAAGTAAGCTCTGAGGTTTGCTTTTGGTATCCTGGTATCCTAAGCTTTCTTGGATCGATCCATTCACTAGGGATAAAAGGGTTCTCTTTCGGTTTTTCATTATTCTTGAATTGAGGAGGGTTCTATGAAGTCATGATCAATTTGGCTTGTTTTCAGTCTCCACATGGGTTTTCCTTGTTTGATAATTCTGGTTCCTGATTTGATGTCTTCCTAGAATAGGTGTTAGGAACCATCTATGGCTTTTTGGTAAATGGCCCTTTTTGGTTGATTAATTCATAGGATAAAGAATTTTTGTTAGGGTTTTGATCAATGGGTTCATCTTCTGGGTTTTTTGTCATCTGTATTCTCCATTCTATGGTAGCTCTTACATTTGGGGCTTTGTTGATGTTCTCCACCAAGGATGTGACTGTGTTTGGATATGGCAGAGATATAGCAAGCAAGCTTCATGGATCAACACTTCATGATCAACTTTTGATCCAAACATCAAGATCATTTTCTGGGTTGCTATTGTTTGCAATTGGGGTTGTGCTATTCATGGTAGCGTTTGTCAAGGACAGAGAGTTCCAGAGCTTCTTTGCCAAAGGATTTGTTCTTCTCCATCTTTCAATGGCTATCTGGAGACTCTGTTTTGAAAGGAAGATTGAAGATCTTGCTGGTGAATGGGCAAAACAAGCTGTGGGGGATATTGCTTTGGCACTCTCCTGGGTTTTCTTTCTTGTTTACTCATGGAGGGAGAAGTATGACTAGCAAGGGGAAAGAAAATTGGGATTCTTTTTTCCAGGATGATCCTTTTGGGGACATTATAGGGGAATTTGAACCAAAGGTCTAGAATTTACTTGGTTAGCCAAGTGAGGATTTTTCCCTTGTTTGCTCCAAAATTTGCAGTAAATCTTGAAGCTTCAAAAAACTAGTGATCCTTGTGTATATATTAAACACACTAGTAACATTCCATTAATTTAAGCAAACAAACCATAGCCATGGCAATTACATACCTAGCAGTACTTAGGAATCACAGACATACTTTACTGATAATTCACTCCTCACTCACAAACTCACAAACTACATATTAGGAGTAACACAGATTATTTAACGCAATTAGAAGTGCCATGGCTCAGCACATGCACGTGCTTAAGCACCACAAGTGCAGTTTGTGCAGGGGCAGTTGGTGCCACACTTGCAGTTGCCATCGTTCTCACCGAACGAATCCTCCATCACAAAGGTGGCGGTGTAGCTGCAAAAATCAACATACATAATAGATGTTATCATGTTATCAACACACATAATAGATGTTACCATAATATGCCATAACAGATGGTTCTTGAGTTCTTGTTATCAATTAATTAGATAAGCAAAATTACCTCTTGACAGTCTCGACGATGTCAACGGTGTAGCTGCTCCCCTTCGGCTTGCTATATTTACAAAGAAAAATCAGGACCTAATTAACTCTTTTTATGTGCAACCATATATGCTCCCCAACTTAAGGTGAAGAAAGATGAATCAATGATAGAAAAAATTCATGGTATACTTTCATAAAATGAAAATTTCACTTTGTAGCGAATAATATTAATTAATTTACTTAAGATTTTCTCTAAACTTTCAACGTTGTATTCAATTCTTCATAATAATAAACGTAACTAATAAGTTTATTTTTAAAATTAAAAAAACATAATCATACTTTTGAAATTATAAAGGTTTAAGTTTGAATTGAAAATAACTTATAAAAAAAAAAAAACTCGTATGAATTAGAATAGCAGTACAGACCTATGGTATTATTTTTTCGGCAAGAATAATATAAATCAAGAAGCTATGTACAATAATAAGCTATAGAGCAAGAACACAACCTTAATTAATCATAACATAATCAAATTCCAATTTCAAAATTGCTAAATTTTGCCATGAATCAAAGGAGATCACTTACTCGCACTTGCTGGGGTCATTGCAGTTGCAGTCTGCGCACTTGTCCGACATGATGATCGAGGAAGGACTTGGGGATGGTGTTTCTCTTGGTAGGTTTTGTAGAAGGAAGGAATTGCTATATCTCCAAGCTATGCACCTGACATGTATTTATAGGCGTAGAAATGCAAATGCAAAAGGTGCTGTTACATCGCCGTGGGATCCACTAGGACATGGGAGGAGCACACGCCTCTGGAGAAAAGTCGGAAGGAATCTTGATAATGGAGCCAGATGGAGCTTGGCCTCTTCCCACCGGCCTCTTATCCTCCTCTCATGTCCATTTCATTTTTCTTTTTGACAAGAGATATTACGCTTGACATTCAAGTTAATTACAAGACTCGAAATTACCTTCTTTTTTTTTTTTTAATAATTGTTATTTTTTAACCTTTTTTTTTCAAGTTAAAGATTTAAGAATAATTTTTATATTTATTTGCAATATCTTAAAAAAAAAAAAAAAAACATTTTGTGATTGATAATTAATTAAAGTAAATAATTGATGATAGGGTTAAGTAAGAAAAAAATATTTGTTTATCTTAATAAATAAAAAATGATAATTAATTTGTGATAAATTTAAAATAAAAAATGATATTTATTTTGAAATAAAAAAAGTAGTATTGAATTTACCTAAGAAAAGAACGTTATTTTAATTAAATGGAAAAATTTTATATCAATAAAATAATTTAAAAAATATGTAAATTAAATATAAAAAAATTATTTTATTTATTTTCAATTAATTTTAAATTAAATACAAATCATATAAAAAACTCACGTTCATAATTTTCACACATAATGTGAAAAGATATATATCTGCTCTTCTCTCAAATTGATTGAGAATTATAATTACAACTTCATTTGGTTGATTCAATTTTAATTTAAAAATTCTGGCACAATTGTGAAAGACAAAACAATCCTGATATCTTACGTTCATTCTAAAGTTTAAATTAAAAATCTTTAAATTTAAATGTAAACATAAAAATTGCAAGTTCAACGTCTATGTTCCTTTTCTTTGAAGATTAGAATTTGCAAAAAGGATGAGTTGTTGCTCCAAGCTCAAAGATTCGTACAAGTGGCTAAGGAATAAGGAGTGAGAATTGACAAGGGGGAACTTGACCTTTAGCTCCGATCTTCATTCTATTTTTTATTTCCATTTTTGGCACAGTAGTATTTCCGATCTTCGACACCTAAATGATAGGAATAGATGCCCTTAATATTGGCCATCCAAATCTTGGTATTCTCCCGATTTTTCTAGGGAGGGATTTTCTTGTCAAGATAAACGGGAAAGTACCTTATTCCTTGAAGAACTTATTAAAATAAAAAAATATAGGCAAAGCCAAATTCCTTTATTTCCCTTTTTCCATCAGTGAATTTTAGTCTCTTCTGCCTTTCTCTTCACTTTCTTCGTCTTGTATATGGTGAAGAAAGGTTTAGAAAGGTTTACTCATTGGCTAAATATCAATTTTAATCTCATAATTTTAAAATTATATATAATTTTTTAATTATTTTATAAACTTTATTCCTTAACTTCAAAAACTATATAATTTTAATCTCTCCTTTAGTTAGTCTCGTTAATTCACATGACATTTTTCTTATTTTTTAAAATGATAAATTAATGATAAATTATACAATTAATTTAAGTGAATAATAACAAGTTAAATTTAATTGTTATTTTTAA